TATTTCGTATGCACAGTTTCCATATGCACAATTTCAGGGTGCCCAAAAAAAGGCACATTCCCTGCCCTTTAAAGAATTTAATTAATAATTCCAATTAATCGTAAGAAATTAACCGATTAATCGATCGTTTCGATTAAAATCGAAAATTAATGAAAAACATTTATAAGTTATAAAACTGACTTACACCCTGTGCAAAAATTATAGCACATCACGAGATTTTTTTTGTTATTTAATTTTAGTTATTTTTTTTAAATACAGCTTATTCTTCAGCAAAAAAATGTATAAATGTATCAAACTTTGTGCAATATAAAAAAATCCACAAAAAAATCGAACTTTAAATAATTAGATTTATTAGAAAGATTTTTGATATGCAGTTTTGTAGCCCATTAAATTTTTGTATACCGTTGAATTTTAAAATTTTTTTTTTGTAACGGTGTTGGTTATTTTCTTCCATATAAAAACGAAGAAAATGCGTAACACCGAATTTGGAAAATATAATGAAAATATGTGCATACCTGCGTTGTGTTTTTTTAGTTTAGCTACTTAGGTTAAACTTGTGTTGCGGTTTTTTGCAAAAATATCGTTTAAAAAATTTGCAGAATACGAGTATGTAAAAGACCTCCCAACTAGTAACATATGTATGTATTGAGTGGAGTGACACTTTTATTGTTGCTAATATTATTGAGTGATAAGAGTTCCAATTTTTGTTACGTAATTTTTATTCATACATTATTGTGTGATGTAGTCAATTTTCGATGGTTTTGCTTTTGAATTATTTTGAAAATTAATCGGTTAATCACTCGATTAATTGAAAGGAAAATTTCGATACAATTAAATCGTAAACACGATTATAATCGGTTATTCGATTAATCGTGCCATCACTATGCACGGCATACATAATTAGAGTTTGAAATTGATTTGCCGAACGACCACTGGTTTTACTAGATGCCATTCATTCATCTCAATCATTCTCATTATTTTGGCTGTTTGTCGAATTTGGAGAACCTGTAACGTCATCAGTATTTTTCGTTATGGTTTTTGTAATTCATTTTAAATCCTTTTTTCTGTGACTGGTTTGAAAAATTTGTGCTCACAGCGAGCGTCTAAATAGGTGGGTAAGGCCAATGAATTGTTTTTTTTTTTTTGCAGGGATGAAAATTTCGAACAAAATTCGGTTATTATAAGAATTTGAATTATTGGATTCGCGGATATGACAGTCTTAGAGC